CTGGTCCTTAACAAGTTTTGTACCCTTGTTTACTGATTTGTCAATGTGTATAGATATAACAGGTGTGGGGGTCCTCTCTGGCTGTAGATGTTAACTGCTGTTCACCGTAAGGTTCAGGAGTGTCCTGTCCTGCCTAAACAGAAATTCTGGTTTCTTAGTATTATTCTAACTCCCTTATAAGATTCTGAATTTCAGATGTGAATTGGTGGCCTTAGAGGTCATAAACGTAAAACACACTCTGAACAAATGTCAACTGTTTCTTGGAGAACAAAGAGAATCCAGTTTCTGGAAGGCTTTCAAGAAAGAAAGACAGGAACTCAGAAACTATCCTAGATTCTTCTATTATACAAATCAATGTAACAAGCCCCTCTATTTTATATGGCTCACTTTGCCTTAGCCTAGGTTCTAGTAAATTCTCCACTGCAGAAGTCAGACCAAGTTCACCTGGTTATTAAGGTCTCGCTGTGCTTCAAGGGGGACATTATGGACATTGGCTTTAATAGAAGTATAAAGTATCAGCACTAGGGCAAAATTGGAGCTGACCTAATCCCTTCATTCCATCAATGTTCTCTCAAGCAATTCCCTTGAGTTACCCAGTTTACTTTTTTGTAAAAATTAAATTATTTGTTTATTATAATTTGTTTTACATGATGGCAGAAAACAATTCATTTCATATTACACATATAGAGCACGATTTTTCAAGTGAGTCACCCAGTTTACTTTCATTAGTGCTTCTGTATAAAAGAGAAGAGAAAACTAAAACCAATGTCTGACCTTTATGACTGGATTTCCCAGGCAAGGGTAGGGGGAGTTTACCTTAAAAACTATGATAGACTGTATTATGGAAATACAGTGTAAAAAAATTAGAAATGATACTTCTGAATGCAGATTATATACTTCAAAGAATTCTGCTGTTGGGCAGTCACTGGGGCCCACATTAATCTATGGGATGAGGGAGAAAAGGAACCACATTCTTGACTTTCGTCTTAGTCTCATTAGGGAACCACAATGTGGTTCTGCCCTTCTGCGTCAGGACCTTTATTCCAACAGTAGGACCAACATCCTACCAGAGAAGAAAGACAGGAACTCAGAAACTGTCCTAGATTCTTCTATTACACAAATCAATGTAACAAGCCCCTCTATTTTACATTGATCACTTTGCCTTAGCCTAGGTTCTAGTAAATTCTCCAGGCCTGTGGTCTCAGTTTTCAGAACAATTATATAATACAAGAATCTAGTGGTCACCTCACTGCAAAATTTCCTTTAGTTATACTCATTAGTTTCAGCCTTAAGCTTAGTAGACAAGGCCCTCTTAAGATTCAAACCCTGCCATTCATTCAGTCCACCCATTTCTTTTTCTCATTTTAATATTCAATCTTTTTAGCCCAAAGAGACTGTCCTCTTCCAAGCCCCTGGGGCAAGGCAGGCTCCACCAAAGGGAATCACACTTCTGGATCTAAGTCAAGATCCAAACCCTTTACTTTATAGAGAATCCCAAGTTACAGAGAGACTATTTAATTCGCCCAAGGTACAGCTGGTTAGGAACACCATGAATTAGGACCCAGTATTTAGGCCTACTTTCTAAAGTCTAATTTGTTTATTGATGACATTGCTCAAATCAGACAATTTTAAAACACTGCACATTTTAAAACACTGAGAAACTTAACACACTACTGATCATCTGGTGTTTATTAACAAAGTGACTTAAATGTGCCCATCCAAAATCTTACAAATATGGAGCTTCCCTTTCTCCCAATGCAACCCTTTTTCTAGGAGCCTTTCCTTCAGAAAGTCTGCCAGGACTTCAATACTAAGAAAGCTCTCTGCCCTAAAAATAATCTCCAAATTCAACATGAGTTACCAAAATAAAATCTCCCAAATAAAACAATGGTAGAGACAGACCTGATAATGAATATGAAATATGCTAAGAACATTCTGTCACTGAAACAAACTTGACTTTTTTTGTGTGATTAATGGTAAGATAAAATCTTGAAACACAAAAGAATGAAGCAAATGATAACAGAGGAGAATCAGCTTGGAAAGGGTCCCATTGGAAATTTATCCGTTTGAAAACTGGCTCTGTCTTTTGGCCATCATTACCATTTATCTGTCCAGAAATTCATTTTCAAGTGTTATTTCCAAATAAAGTCCCAAATTCAAAATGCAAGTTGGTTGGCTCATTTAAAATTTGCTCTGAGATGGACAAAACAACAAATTTATTGTTTTCAGAAGAAATAATAAGTATATTCTAACACTTATTGTGTCTAATTCATATTTCAGAGGCTGGCCTTCCCTTCCTGATTCTTTAGTATCTTATTTCCATTAGGAAATGGGAAATACAGGAAATAGCATTATGAAGCCATTTCTAAATATTAATATGGTACCAAAGTAAGTTAGCAAAGAACCATGCACTTTCAAGGAAAGGATGAGAAGGGAAATTGGCTTGAACCCAGTCTGTCAGAAATGGTGAATGGTCTGCGTTTAGCTAAATCTAATCAGGCCATCATGCCCTACACTGCATTTACTGATAAGTCAGGGCACTGGAGAGGGCATATCACATCAGAACAGTGCTTGGAAGAGGAACAAAAATTACCTGTTGAATAGGAAAACTAGCTTTCTTAGTCAAGTAATTTGATAAAATTCTTGATGCCAGAGAATCCATCCATGAAAATAACATGGCGGTGGTATGAGAGACGGGGTGGGGGGCGGTAAGAGTCTGAGAGAGGAGGAACTTAGGGAGCAAAAATTAAGGAAGGAATAGTAAGAGTAACTGCTATTAAATATTTAATCTAAAGACTAAGCCAGGAAGAACATTTACACAAAGATGCAAATTATTACTCATGAACTTCCATTTCACTTGAACAATAAAAAAAACAGTGCAAGAATACACTGGCACTGCCTAAGCAAAGACAGAGTAGCACCAATTCAAAGGCGGAAAACACATAGCATTCATATTTATGGGGATAATACAATTGCTCATATACATGAGTAGATTTCATTGCTTTCTAAGCATTGCTGAGAAAACCTGGTAGCACTTTATTTTCTTTAAGAGTTTGAAATGTGCAATCTAAAATCTCATAGGGTAGCTATGATCTTTCAAAAATGCAGATGTCATTTGGAAAGTTCCCAGGAAAACGCATCCTGTCTTTCAAGATATTGAAAGGATTGGAGGAATACTCACTAATGCACTTTGTTAGATGAACTGTTGTCAAGCACCACGTTAGTAAATGGTGACAGGATGGAGCTGCATGACAACAAAAGCACCCACAACAGCCCCTGGGATATAGTACAGACTTCAGATTTAAAAAGATGATAACTCTTAAAAATACACAACCCCACCTCAAGGAGGCACTTCTTTGCTGATTTTGTGACCAGTAAATCAATAATATTTTCCATTTTAAAAACTACAGTATTAATTAATAACATTGAATATTCATTAATAATGTACACACATAATCTTTAAGAAGAGTAAAGCATTCTTTGGGGGTAAAGCCAACAGATGACTTTAACAGAAAAAAAATTTTTTTCTCATTGTACATGGAAATACCGGAGTTGACTTTCTCAGTCATACTTAGATTTGCCAAAACATTCTTTGCCCCAGATTCTTGATTCACTAGTAATTCTGGAGGAGAATTTACATTCATTTGTGAACTCTCTGGCCTCATTCTCTTTCACGCCCTATCACACGTGTCATTCCAATATAGCAAAAGCACACATATCCTAGGAAGCTTCTCTTCCTCTCTCTCTGAGCCCAAACCTGCTTGTCTCCCCAAATATTCCCTTTGGAAAGCGAACCATCTCTATGACAACCTTAAGATGGGGGGGTTGAAGAGCACTTGGGGACAGCCCTTGTGGAAGTTAATACCAGTTTGTGTTTAATGGGGTCAGGGAAACTCAGACAATGGCTAACACTATGGAGAGGAGCCACTTAGCTGTAAGAAATTGATTGTTAAACTTAACCTATTCAGAACACAGTCTCAGAAAAACAATCTATAAGTATGATTTATTCAGGGTTAATTCATTAATTCTCCATTTTAGCTGATTTGCTCAATGCCCAGTGGAAATTAAATCAAAAGATCATCTATGATATGGAAAAGAGAATTAAGAACTTTTAAACTTGACCTAGGCAGAGCCTTCAGAAATACTACTTTTCCCAAATAAGTGTTACCACATTCTCTTTTCTAGGCAAGACTATTTCTTTTCTGTGTCTTTATATTTTAATTGTATTTCTTTCCCTATAAAGCAGATGATGAAGGTGGATTATTATGGAGTTGTATGGACTTTTTCATATCTTTAATACATGTGCTTCTAGAAAGAGAAGAATACGGACACAAGGTGGCAATTCTAGCTCAGGTGTAGCGGGGATCTTTTGTGTGACTCAGAGCTAGAGAGAGCTGCGTTCAATATGTGTTGAACAATACTTTCCCACTACTGACTTCACTCCAGGAAACAAATTATCATGCTTTTTTAAAAAACAGGGGCACCAAAAAAGTCGCCATCTGATAATGTACATTCTTTCTTTGTCTTTACCTGACTGACCACCTAACAACAGGGCTTTTAAAATAATGAGGAGAATCCTTTGTTCTCCCTGGTTCCATTTAAGGAAAAGTAGGTCGAAGGGCTTCCCCAGGGAGGGAAAAAAAAAAAAGCCCAGGAGCCAAACACAAGGGGAGTAAGAGATTTCAGCCCACTCCTGTTCCCACCCTCCCAAAGAAGTTAATTAATTCTGTTTTAGGGATGGTTAACAGAGGTGGGGGGAGCACTCAGGTAGCCCATTCTCTGAGACCATAATCTCATTCTTAAGTGTGGCTCACACCATCCTCCCAGGCAGGGGTGGGGGCAGTGAAGGGTGCAGAGAATGTCTCTCCAGCCATGGGCAACAGAGCCAGTACTGCATGCATTTGCACTCCCCAAAACGTGCATCCCAGCCCAAGTGCGAAGTTGGATATTTAGACCTGAAAAACACAATAAGAGCCATTCAAAGCAGCAAGTTACAGTACCTTAAGGAGTCTTACAGATGGGAGAAAGGCTGCGTGGCACAGCTTCCGGATGGTCCAATTTAGGGGTCGAGAAGCATCAGTTTGATTCATGACCCCTTCCAAATTCCACCGGGAAAACAAGAAACTGCAAACCTGAGCAATGCCTAGAAAATAAATGGTTCCCCACGGCCCTGGCATCCCATGGTCATCTCCACACCTGCAAATTCCATTAGGGCAGAGGCTTCCTGGAACTTGGGAGACTAGTCAAGTGGCGTTTCCTGAGCCCCTGAACCTTCTTAAGAAAGCCACCTCCCCTCTCTCTGCAGCCGTGCTCATGCATACCAAATGTGGCTGAATGAAGGCACACTGCCTGCTGCTTCTGGGAGGGGATGCAGGGTTTTGAAGGAGAGGGACAGCCTGCACAAAACAGCCTGTGGTCGGAGTCGGAGCAGCCTGCTCCGGAATGCACGCTCCCTCTCCCGCTCTCCTCCCAGCAAACGCAGGTCAGGCGTTGGGGGGGAACCCGGGCCATTTGCTTTGCTCGCTCGGTTTGGGGGGGAGCCAGGAAGAGAGCAAAAGGGAACAAAAATAAAGCCAGAATGGGAACTTGCACTTTCTTGCACAAAGCATCTTTGAGGGGCTGGGAACAAGCATGGGGGAGGGGCTAAGACACGAAAGGAGAAGGGATGCCTCTGAATGATAAGATAAAATGCTTCCCTTTTGATTTATTTGGCATACTAAATCGAGAGCTATCATAAAATGGATCTAAAGTAGAAGGGACCCCTGTTTTGTTCTGGGGTTTTTATTAACTGTGATTGACAGTCCTCACTCTGATACATACATTATACAGATGACAGGTAGACCAAACTCACACACACACACACACACACACACACACACACACACACTGGTGCCAATGAGTTATTCCTTTCATAGAAAGCTGTGTAAACTAATGCATACTTGGCTTACATTTTTAAAGTGTCAGTTTCTAAACTAGGGGTTATCTCCTCCTGGGAAGCCACTTGATACCCTTCGTCACCAACAAAAGTTTAACCCTTCAGGTGTTATGTGGGATGCTATTTATAAAAGACCGAATTTCCTCAAGTGGGGATTCCTACTCCCATCATTTTCTAAGGAGACTTTAAGAGAAAGAGTAGCTTCATTGGAATGCATAGTCTTTAGGGCTCTTTTGGTGAGAGAATAAAGGAGAAATTTTCAATTTTAAGGCAGAAATCATATAATTTCATTAGAAAAAGAAAGTTAGAGGAGGATTGGGGGCAGGGAGAGTTTGTGTCACACCTCCTATTTGGAGTACTCATCTTCCAAAGGCATTAGACCTCAGTCAGTACGGTAGACTAAAAGACTCCACCCAGGAGAATTCCATATCCTTAGAGGATTGCTAACTTACTTATGCTTTCTACTTCTTAGCCCTTCCTATGTCTATACTGATTTTCCACTGCCAATTAGCTGGCAGAGAAAGGTAAAGCCCCACTCCAGGACTACTTCATATTCCGAGGCAGAACTGGGAGGGGTTCGAGGAATATGATCACTGCTGTATTTCAGGGTTGGGGACAACATAGACCCACCCTAGAGTGTAATAAATACCTGATGCACTGCATTACAACACCACTTCCATACAGTGCTCCTGAGTCACGGATCAAAGAAGAATATTGCAAAAAAGTGGGTCCATTGGTGGAATACAGACCACTGACTTGTAAATAAAATTCATGTGCCTTATTACCTTCTATTAAGCAGTACTGCTCTAATAGAAATCCACCCAGTTGGTTCATTTTCTGTCACCATTCTATTTACACAAAGGGTTGGAGGTAGTTTTAAAATAGTAACAGCTAACATGTATGTGTCAGGCATGGTGCTGGGCACTTTAAATGTATTATGTAAGTTCATATCAATGACAATGCTATGAAGCAGATGCTGCTGTCATGACCCTATTTCTGGTTAAACAAGTGAGGTCCAGAGAAATTAGTAATAAATCTAACATAACTGGTACATCAGGAGTCTGGATTGAAACTAGTCTACTAGGCTAGTTAATACAAGCTTTTTCTTTTCTCCTGTTTCTTTTATAATTAATGGTACCACAGCAATAAAATCACTGCCTCAGTTTTCTGGTAATTCAACTGTATATAAGAATCAAGCTAAAAGACAGAAGAAATAATGCTCAGCACTTCCTTCAGATTGTCTCTGTGCTATGACATTGATGTAACAGTTAACAGCATGAATTTTGAAGTCAGGCTCCGTGGTTCAAATTCTGATTCTGACCCTGGCCTGGAGCACTTTTTCTTGCCTCCTCTGAGCTTTGGAGTCCTCATTTATAAAATGGAGATAAACATAAAACCACACCCCAGGAGTGTTGTGAAGACTGAATAAGCCTATCAATGAAGCACTTAGAACAACACCTGGCATATTCTAGGGTCCCTTGTACCATGTACCATCTTCCAAGTAGCATGAGCTGATTTGAGGTTGGGAACCCATGGACATTTCCCATTAAGTATGTGCAAGTATGGATACTTACAGAATTAGGTAATGAAGCCAAGCAAGGGAAATTAAACTGAATGCTTCCTATCAGTTATTATGAGTTTTATAAATGGGGTAAAGAGGAAAGTAAAAGAGTATAAAGGCATAGGGACTTCCTAAGCTTTATTGCAGAGTGGTAATCGTCAGTCCCCAAGCTACTGTCTTCAGTGAGGCTATGAGGCTGCAGTCTTTCTAAGCTATTAAATGCCTTTATGTGGTTTCTTTGCAGTTGCCAGAAGTCTGCTCCAAGGAAAGGCTGAAGCACTCCAGTTGCCTACTCCTGCCCTCAATGTTCCAATATGTGAAGAATCCCACACAAAGGACAGCATCATTATGAAATCACATAGCCTTTGATCCTCCTAGCCCCTTTAATTTTTATGGAATCACTTTGGTCCAAGAATATAGTTAGGATGTACATGAAGTGAGGAAGTAGGAGGATTCACAGCCCTCTCTAATGGCGATTAAAGGAGAGAAGCACAAAACCTCCAGGGAATTGATTTGGAGACTACACTGCAAAAGAGGTGAAGATCAAAGAAAGATGAATTCCATGACAGAAAGTTGTTCTTCCATCTTTGGGGTAATTTATGCAGGAATTGTTAGCAAAATCTCTACAACAGTTTTTCAGAAACTTTTTTCCTCCACTTTTGACTAATGGTATTTTCACAGGGAATGATGATGCTGTCCCTGATTTTGGAGGGGAGTCTGATGAGGAACAACAAAGGGGTACAAGTCCATCCTCAGAAGTTAGCATTTTACAAACCCAAAAAACTGGTTCATACATTTTATGAATGTGGTGTTTACAAATATGCATAGAACATTTCAGCAGGCTTGAAACTGACATGATCATATTATTTTTCATTATCCTAAAAATACAGCAAATTTGGTGTATCAAATTTCTGCACTCCAAATTCTGCCTTTCATCAAACTCTAATTCCTTCCCATGTTCCTTAAGCCCTCTTCACACTGAGCACTTTTTATGTCCTTTATAAATGATGATAAATTCAAGAATCCTAATAACATTTGAGCTCAGATTCAGTGCTGACAATGAGCTATGGTTACAGACATACCACCTTTAGGCCTTTGAAGGCCACCTTCCCTCTTTTTAGGAAAATCATGACACCTTAATATGCCTTGCACTACTTTGCTCAATCTTACTATCCCTTAGATATAAAGGGGTTTGGCTGATAAAAACCTAAGAAAAAAAAATGGAAATGGCACACTGACCAGATAGTACAGCATATTCAAAAAGCCTCATGCATATGTGTTTTCTGCAAATCACACACACACACACACACACACACACACTCCAGTATAATTTATAACACTGAAATGCTTCCGTATCTGCTTCGGTATCTGCACTTTAACTCAGCATGCATTTCCAAGGCTCTACTATATGAATGTGGTTTATATGGTGCAGATGTTCAAGCATCCAAGAAAAAGACTGGGAACCAGTCAAGCTTTTGTAGAGAACTTCATCTGCCTCCACATTTTTCAGTCTTAATATTAACTTCCTGTTTGCTTTATGGTTGACCTCAGTGTCAACTTTACCATGTTCTGATAGTTCGCTATTTTTGTCAAAAAACTACCTTCGGAACTTCTGGCAACTCATAATTTTTCTCTAAACAGCATGTTTTTCTCATTTCTTCTAGTGAACTGCATTCAAGTAGATCTATAACATTTTTAGGAATTTTTTAATACTTCAATATTCTCAAAAATATGAATTTCTTTATAGAGTCCTTGGTACTTAGAACAGCTCTTAGTTATTTCCAAGTATATGTTCTTTAAAGAGATTAAATATTTTTTCCCTCCACTTAACATATATTTCTCCTTTTGGTAATTTTTATGATAATAGATTCTGAATTATATTAAAATATATTAAAATAAATGACTCACACTCTTTCTTTTATGCACTAAGGATTGAACACAGGGGTGCTTTACCACTGGAGCTCCATCTCCAGTCCTTTTTATTTTTTTTATTTTGAGACAGAGCCCCAGCTAAGCTGCTGAGGCTGGCCTCAAACTTTCAATCTTCCTGCCTCCGTCTTGCAAGTTGTTGGGATTATAAGCGTGAACCACCACACTCGCCTAGAAGCATTTATTTCATGTAAAATGTGAAAACACCTCAGAATTAGAATGGTCTTCTATTCTAGTTTTCTTCTCAATATTGGGATACCTCACCCGGATTCACTGAGTGCTGTCCACCCTCTGGTGAATGCCTGTAGTGACAAGGACCAAGTGAGTTTGGGGGGCAATTCATTCCACAGTTGAACAGCTATAGTTAACAGAAAGTTCTTTCCAAGGCTTAGATGAAATGGGCCTCCCTGAAACTTCCACGTCAAGTTTTCTTCCAGAGAACAAGTTCCTCAAGTATTATAAAATGCTGTTAACAATCTCTGCTCAACCTCCTATTCTCCACAGTGGACATCTTGGACCATTAATCTTTCTTTAGGATCATATTCAATATTAGTTATAGGGATACTTTAAATATAGTTCATTACTCAACCCTCTTAAATCCTTCTTATTATTTCTCAAAGTTCTCTTGGAGAGTTTTGAGAAGAGACTCACTAATAATTTAGCATCTTTTAAAAAAATTTATGAATAAATTTGTTTACTCAATATAGACTTTTATGGGAAATGGTGGTGGGTGGTGATGGGCTAAGTGAAGCCCATGCTTGAAACAGGAAACAGCAGGATTGGACTATCTGTGTTTCATCCTCCTTATGTTTATCTGATAGCTGAAGGTCAGACAGGCTCAGTTCAAACCTAAGCCCTACCTTGTGCATGCTTTGTAGCTCTGGGCCAGATACATAAACACTCAGAAAATTAGTTTTCCCACTGCAAAAAAAAAAAAAAAGTGCCCCAAACAGTTTCCACCACAAGATTTTTGAGATTAAAAGCAATTAGCACA